GAGGCTGCAGCGGGGCCCGGGAGGGGGACTGCGCGGGGGGCCGGCGCATAGCCGGGACCATGGAGGGTCAGAGCGGCCGTTGCAAGATCGTAGTGGTGGGGGACGCGGAGTGCGGCAAGACGGCGCTGCTGCAGGTGTTCGCCAAGGACGCCTATCCCGGGGTGAGGGACTGGCGTCTTGGGAGAGGGTAACTGAGGCCGCGGGGGCGGATGACTGGGGCCCCAGGGACGGATGGAAATGGGTGCTGGGGTAATCAGGGGAAAGAGGGGCTCAGAGGAGCGGGGGTGGTGTTAGGGGCTCTGGAAAGACTGCAGAGGATTGGGGTGGGAGGAATTGGGGATCAGGGTGGGATGAATGGGGTTTAAGAGAAGCAGAGGATCCCGGGGGGGCGCTAAGGGAATGTCGGGGGTCCTGGGCATCGTAGAGGAGAAGGACTAGGGGCTGAAAAAACTGGGAGGGGGTCTGGGAACCTAGCAGAGATTCCCTGAGGCAGCCACTCCTGGGATCTCCCCTTTGCCCAACACCAAATCAACTTGTGTACAGGGGCTGGGCTGGACAGAGTGTGGGAGTGAGGAGAGCATTTGGGGTGAGGATTGGAGGATCTCATCTTGACCCATCCCTCTTTGCAGAGTTATGTCCCCACCGTGTTTGAGAACTACACCGCGAGCTTTGAGATCGACAAGCGCCGCATTGAGCTCAACATGTGGGACACTTCAGGTAGCCAAGTCCCTGGGGTCACCCTAACTATGAAGACCCCTACTTTGGTTGGTATTGCCCTTGGCTAGACCCTTAGGCTCCAGGTCAGCTCAGCCCATCCATTCAATTCTAGGAGGGAGGGAAATCAATTTTCTGCCTAAAGTCAGGGAAACTGAGGCAGAGCTTGCTGACAAACATAGAAACTATGTCCAGTATCCAATCCCCTCTGGACTCTGCTTACCTGGGAAAGTTGGGAAGGAATGTTTTTTTCATTTGGGAACATGTTTTTTAGGAGATAGGACTGGGTTTAGGAAAGCCATTTAGAATTTCTTTGGGAACTGCTTTGGGTTTAGGAACTGCTTTTCTAAACTGAACTGTAGAAATCTGAGATCAAGTCCCAAGAGGATAGGAGAACTCTCCCTTCTCCCAAAAGGAGAAGTGTTTTTATTTTTATCCTGGTCCTCTGGAGGGCTTTAGAAGATGTCTGTCAAAGCCCAGAAAGCACATGCAAAATTTTGTGAGAATGTCGACAAATTTCATGAGCTTCTCAGACTCAGAAAAGATTAAGAATGATTACTTTTAGAGAAACCCCTAGGGAAGTAGAGAGCTGTTTTCTCACATCTAACCTACCCTCTGCCTCCCCCCACCTTAGAGAAACACAGACTCCTTGATGAGTATTAATAATTGCTCTTTTCCATTCTCTGCTCCTAACTTCCCTTAACCAGTATTGCTAAGGTCTCCCATTCCGTTCCAGGCATTGCATCCACTCAGGACCCTCATCTGTCCCCTCTCTCCCTGTCTTTTCTCAGGTTCTTCTTACTATGATAACGTACGGCCCCTGGCCTATCCTGATTCAGATGCTGTACTCATCTGCTTTGACATTAGCCGACCAGAAACACTGGACAGTGTCCTCAAGAAGGTGGGAGCCTGAGGAAACAGGAAGCTAGACTCAGAAGGACCAGAAACTGTGGTCCTGACACAATATAAGCCATCAGCTGGGAGTGTATGAAGTTCTCATCCTCCTCCACCCCCCTTTCCTGGAAATTAGTCCTCAGAGCTAGATAGGGCATCTGGAGGTGATGAGGCAGAGCAGGGCGAGGTACTCAAGGGATTCCTTAGCCACTCATCTCCTTGGGCATGGGAGCCCCATATGGACAGGATGGGAATGCTGCTCTTGGAATTCAGGAAAGCCCTCTCCAGGCCCCTATTTCCATGAGAAAAGCCCTTGGTGAAAGGATAGAAGTCAGCTAAGGCAGCCCCAGTTCCCAGATGGGGGAGGGTAGGGCAGGATTGGTCTGTTCCCAGGAACAAATTTGGGACAGGGAAGGTTCTAGGCTGGCACACGCTTCATGGCCCCTGAGGTAGAAGAAAGGCCCCCAACCCTACAGCCCAACTCCAGTCCTCAGCTCCCTCCCGTTCCGTACCCCATCCTGCTTTCAGCCCAAGCCCACCAGTCTCACATCCTTGCTTACACGGGAGAATCCAGAGGGGTGCATGGTTTTCACATGCCGTGAGGAAGAATGTCCTCCTGGCATGGAGGATGATTCACCCCGTACCTTCTTCGTTCCCTCTATAACTCTATTTTCTTTTCTGTTTTCTTCCCTCAAATAGTGGCAAGGGGAGACTCAGGAGTTTTGCCCCAATGCCAAGGTTGTGCTGGTTGGCTGTAAATTGGACATGCGGACTGACCTGGCCACACTGAGGGAGCTGTCCAAGCAGAGACTTATCCCTGTTACACATGAGCAGGTAGGACTCTTGACCTCTGACCTAGTCCTGGCCTGGACCTCCCATCTCTGACCTTCTCAATCTCTTATTTTAAAACACCCTACTTTGCTCATCCCTTGCCCTGGCCTCTGACCTCTGACCTGATTCCTTGACCCTCTCCTCCAGCCTCTATGCTCCTTGCCAGGGCTATAGGCCAGGTCCCATAACTTCCTCCATGCACTCCATCCTTCCAGGGTACTGTGCTGGCCAAGCAGGTGGGGGCCGTGTCCTACGTGGAGTGCTCCTCCAGGTCCTCTGAGCGCAGCGTCAGGGATGTTTTCCACGTGGCCACAGTGGCCTCCCTTGGCCGTGGCACTAGGCAGCTTCGCCGTACTGATTCACGCCGGGGACTGCAGCGATCTTCTCAGCTGGCAGGACGGCCAGACCGGGGCAACGGGAATGAAGGCGAGATACACAAGGATCGAGCCAAGAGCTGCAATCTCATGTGAGGGGCCGGGGTGGGGCAGTGTCAAGAGAGGTGGCAAAGGGTACAGTTGTTCCCCAGCCTGCACCCAGGCTTCCTGACTTTGGCTAGGGCTTCAGGGCAGGCTAAGTGAGCAATTCTCCTGAGCAAGGGAGCCACAGGGAAAGGGTGCCACCATTCCCCACATTCTCATCCCCCTCTTCTCGACAGGAAGTTGAGGGAGCTAGCAGGACAGGCATCTAGGCCTGGAGCTGGGATGGGGCACGGGGGTTGGGGAAGCTGGCATCAAGCAGTGACCTTGGTTGAGTCTCAGTATGTGAATGATGCCTTCTTTCCCCACCTCCAGTCCCATATCCTGGCCCTGGC